TTTTTTTAAGTAATTGGTGCTGTTTTTCCTGGAGTATGATTGCTCACTCTGACGATATCTATCACATGACAGAAAATAGTTCGGCACAGGTTAATCAGGGTCGCACCACGGTTAGCCGACGACTTTTTTTCACAATCCAACAGTTGTCACTTAAAGTCATTCCTTCAATTTCCGGTGATGCAAATTCATGGTTTTTTCGAACCAACATTTCCTTCGGATTGTAAAGTCTAAACAAACTATTTACTCAAATAATTCTTCGGAATCTTACCTTATTTCATTTCATATTTAATCCACATTTCGCTAGTGATCACATATCGACACCAAGCAAATTTGCTGCACTATGCAATATAATTAGTATTGTTACTGGTAAAGTTATGGAGACTAATTTATTTCCTTCGGATACAAATTTAATTCTAAGAATTAAGTTTTTATCAAAAATTACTGATCCCAAAGAAAGATACTAACATTTAATATACGTAATTTTGCTGATTTTTATGGCAAATACATATATGCCTCATCAGCAATCTGACCACCAATGTGGTTTAAGAGAAGCCTGGTTTGCCCTTACAATCCCAATAGTGGTTGTGTTACGGAGTGGTAAAATAGGCCCACGATGCACATGTGCCAAGTTAGAATATTAAGTTTGCCGATGAGGTTGAAGAGAGTTCGGAACGACAGCCCATTATGTATGCGGAAATCTTGTTAGTAAACATTAAAACAGTTAAATTTTACTGTGATGAAACATATTTTTAACATTTTGGGGAAAATTCAATTAACCATAAATAAGCTTATGGGACCTAATACCACTAGGTCCTCAGTATATGATTTTTGATAATTTTTAATCAAACTTACACTGCAAATTTTGAGCCCTCCCTCCAAGTTTACCTTGAAGAAATGATTTTGACAAGATTTATTTAATAAATCTCGAAATTACATACTTTCAAGACATTTAATTTAAATTTTCTTAACGTTTCTAAAGCGTTTGTTCTTATTTTAGAAAGATTTTTTGAAAAAGAGCTGTATTCCCCTTAGGTATGAAGACCAAGATGGTGTGGCCTTTGGTGTGATCGCAGTCTCCTTTCGTTGTATAGAGGTCGTTTGACCTTGTTTTCGTAACATGGTCATAATGGTAGGAAGACTTAGAGGAACGCACCTAGTCCGGGGCTTGTCTGCATGATCATTTCCAAAGTTGAACCGTGGACGTGGTACATTCCCAAACGTTTCGCCGGCATCGTAGTCGGCATCGTCAGTGAGTATCGCCATTCCTTACACTGCACAACAGCTCGTCAAAGAGACAAGTGAAGCTGATCCGTTGAACAAACTTGTGCCAAACAATTGTGGTATCTCCCCTTCTGCCCTAGGTTATTCGAGGTTCCGGTATCCTCCTATCATGCCTTCATTATTACAATTTTTGCTGTGTTTATTTAGATATTGTGGTGTGCTCCTTTGAGCGACACGAAACCTTCACACTCCAACTGTCGGTCTCACCCCCCACCCCCCCTTCATCCTTGTGCAGATAATGTTGATCAGAGTCTGCTTTATTATTGTTATGCAGTCCTCTTCCCTAGCCTTATCTCAGTCTCTCTCTTGCTCCGTAAAATCCGTCTGCTCTATCTCTCGTTCACCTATTTCACTCGACTCCTATCTCCACATCTGTCCTACTCGAAGCGATATTTGCCCTCACCTACGTCTGGGTGAACAATTCGAGGCTCAAGCCTCTGAGTGTCGTGATCACCCCTTTGCTACATGGACCATGTCTCTGGTACAACCGACCTACCCTCAGCCAACTAGCTCCGGTCCCCGCCGTGTCTATCCTGTTTCTATCCCTAATACCAAGTCTATGAATTGCTATGCCTTAATAACTTGTGTGCTAACCCACAAATATTGTCGTACTGCTTGTTTTGGTTAGGTTCGATGTTAAACCACGTTTGTGGGTTGGCACATACGGGACTAGGGCATAGGAAGTAATAAGGTAGTATTATAGTTAGAAAAGGATAGAAAGAGTGAAAGCCAGAGATGGTTTGCTAACAATAGTCGTGATTTAATGATCACGTTTAAGATCAAACACGTATATTGTTAGCCAAACGGCTTTAGTCTCCACCGTATCTTTCCTTTTTCTATCTGTAATACCACGACTATCACTTCCTATGTCCTAGTCTCTTATGTTCCAACCCACAAAGGTCATGGTTCTACTTGTTTTGATAAGGCTCACTGAAGACGTATCCTCTTTCCTTCTGATTCTTCCTTTCTCATCCTCTTGCGATCTCTTTTCATAAAATTAAGGATGTTACCTTGATCCAGTCGTCTCCTTTTTGCTGATCTTCCTATTGCCTGGTCTTCTCCTAGTTTGTTTAGGCAATATGCAAAGTTTAGCTGATCCTGCCTTCTTCTTCATTAGATTTCTCTCAGTCAGTATATCAATGGCCTATCGGATCTTGCGTTTTCTTATATTTTCATCATATCCAGCCAACCTATCGGTCGATTTCCAGTCGATTTCATGCCGGTCCGTGCAATGTGTTCCGCTATTTCTGATCTTTGTGTATCCATGTTCTTGCAGAGTCTTTGATGTTTCTTGATTCGTATACCGATTTTTCGTCCTGTTTCACCGATATACTTTTGCGATAAACTCCCGAACATTCAAGTTTATCCGTCTTCTCGTGTTGTGTTGACAGACCGGTGAAAAGTGTTTTCTTCTCCTTTGTTATCACCTTGATATTCCATTTTCCTAATAAAGATCACAATTGTTGGCTCAGTTGGGATGAGGGCAAGCAAATTCACTTTTGGTTGTTATCCTCATTCCGGATCTGATTTTCATAAAATTCAAGTTGAAATCGGCCCTTTATCACATTTACATTTTTCTCTATAAATTCTTTGGGGCATCCATTATTTAGACAAATCTGTGTTAGTTTGTCTAACTCCTCGTCCCAGAACTCTTTGTCTGTTAGTGGTAGGCTTCTGATGATCAAACCCCTAAGTATTCCTATCTTCAGTCTGTAATTATGATGAGACTGGAAATTAAGGATTATTCCCGCATACGAATTCTTTCTGTATAGTTTCCTCATGAGTGTCCCTCTGGAGCGTATGACATCAACATCCAGAAAGGATAGTCGTTCATCTTCCTCAACCTCCATTGTAAACTTAATTCTTTCATCAATTTGGTTAATGAAATTGAGGAATTCACTTTAATTTTCTTTACCATATGACCAAGTATCGCATTAGCACTCTTGGTTGCAGTGGTGACTTCACGAATTCCCTTTCCAACTTGTCCATATATACATTTGCCAAAATAGGCGATAGTGGTGATCCCATCGGTAGTCCAAATATATGCTCATAGATAATGCCGTTAAATGTGAAATATGTTGTCATAACTGTCAGGTTGATTAGTCGTGTTAAGGACTCTTTCCGTATCCGTTCTGCCTTCAGGATATCCTCTTCTCCCTGCAATATCTCCATTAAGGCGCTTATCGCCTTCTCACCTGAGAGGTTTGTGTACATGGATTGTACATCGAAACTCACCAACAGTTTTGTCCCCACTAACCCAATTTTCTGGATCCTTTGAGAAAATTCATATGAATTCTTGACGGTATTCGAGAGTCTGTGATTTACTTTCTTGAGCTTCAAGCAAATGAATTTCGCTTTTTTATGCATTGCTCCATGCTTGTTGTTGACTAATAGTCTGAGAGGATTTCCCTCCTTGTGTATCTTCGGTAGTTCGTAGGCTGTCCCTTCTGTGGTGGCAGTCTCCTTTCGTTGTATAGAGTTTGCTTGACCTTGTTTTCGCAACATGGTCATATTGGTAGGAAGACTTTTTGGAATGCACCTAGTCCGGGGTCCATTGTCTGCATGATCATTTCCAAAGTTGAACCGTGGACGTGGTAC